GTTTATTTATAGAGCACCAATTCACAACTAAAGTCATCTAAGGGCACTGAACAAAGGACAAAACGTCACAAAATCACAAAATTGTAATTTGTAAATACAATAAAATGAAATATTTTGAAACATATAAAAGTGACAAAGCAAAAAGTTTTTTTTTGCTGCTCAGATAAAAACCTACCTGATGGATTTGGAAGATAGAAACGAGCGCTGCCTGCAGGTAGTCTGACTGAGGCTGCTTGGTGTAGTAGATCTGGATGGGGTGCTGCCTCCCCTCCAGGTACAACACAGGCGACTTGTTAAAGTACTCTGAGAACAGATCCACATCCATTGTGGCAGACATCACTATGACCTGTGCAGGGGAGGGGAAAAAATAAACCTGCTAAATGCAATAAACGATCAGTTAATGTTTATTAAGCTCGGTGTGTCCTCCGACCTTCAGAGGAATCTTGTTTAACTCCCTGCGCCGGCGCTGAGCAGTCTTCACCACACCAAACAGCACATCAGTGTGCACGGTGCGCTCGTGAGCTTCATCCAGGACCACCACAGTGTAGCGCAGCAGTAAGGGGTCTCCGATGGCCTCTCGGAGGAGCATCCCGTCCGTCATAAACTTCAGCTTCGTCTCAGACGAGGTGACATCCTCAAAGCGCACCGTGTACCCGACCTAAAGGTTAAAGATGTGCTACAGTAAAACTTCAGGTTAAGCCAAGTCGTTTGTATGACATCACTTGTCCACAGGACAACTTAAAGTGCTTTACTGATATGAGAAATACATTAGAACAAGAATAAAACTATTAGCATTACATAAAAGCATGGTGGCCCACCAGGCTTGCAATATACTGGAGGAAACGCCGAATTTGTGCTTTCAGGGGCGTCCAGTCCTGGTCCTCGAGGGGCGCCGCCCTGCATGTTTTACTAGTTTTCTGAGGTTTCCCCAGATGATTTCTCCCAGTCACTTAGTGGGAGGTTCTTGGTRTGTGGGCGGAGTTTGGGTGAGGTTTGAAGAAGCCATAACAATTTGGTTGGATGAAGACTGGGCAGTTGGAGGAAAGTGTAACAACTAATACTAATTAGTCAAAACTCAAGACTGGGGGGTGATAAGCCACACAAAGTTTGAAGTCCAAAAATTATATTTACTTGTTCCCATTACTTTATCTTTAAATTTGCCCCACAAGACAAGCCAATTTGATCAATCAGTTTTGCCAAACTTCGCCAACAGAGCCAAGAAACTACTTGAGGTTCACTGTTCCAATTACCTCCTCAAGTTCTGCAGAAACCTGTTAATTCATTAAAATCAGGTGTGTTGGCTCAGAGAAACCTCAAAGACAAATAAATCCTGGTCCTCGAGAACCACTATCCTGCATGTTTTAGAGGTTTCTCTGCTTCAACACACCTGATTTTAATGAACGCGTGATTAACGGACTTCTGCAAAAGAGGCAGGGAAACAAAAACGTACAGGACACCAGGACGGGTCACCCCGGTGCAAACCAGAACTGTAAGTACCAGCTTCCCGAGCTGAGWCCTCTTCTCTTCCGCCACTCTTCCTGCCAGGGAGATGGCGGCGACTCGACGGGGTTGAGTGATGGCAACCATGCCTTGCCTGCCGATGCCAGCTTCATACAGGTACTGAGGGATCTGAGTGGTCTTCCCTGAGCCGGTCTCACCTGAACATAACACAAAGAGAGGGCTGTACTCAGAAAGACAAAAAAACAAATAACACAGCGTTTCATAACAGCTCATTTATGATAAGAAATGTTCTTACAACTCAACAACTCAAATCGACTAAAAGTTACAAATGGTGTTTGCCTAGCTGGTGGCTACTGGTGGCTGCCCAGTAGCAGCTAGCAGTAGCGCTTGTGTTACCGATAACAATAGCGTTGTGGAGCTGTCTGAGMTGGTTCAGCAACTGAGGTTTGGCCTGGTAGATTGGAAGGTGTTTCCTCTGGACGTCAATCGGAGTGGTCACACTGTTTCCCTTTCTGGGCAACAGCATTCCAGGTTTGTTTTTCTCCAGGCGGAAAAACACGGACCCCGGCTTGAATTTCTTGGCCGGAGGAGGGTCGGGGTCGTGGGGCATGGTCCAGTGAGGGTGGGTCCGGCAGGAGAAGCTCTGCGGCTCCTTCGTGTGTTGAACAGACGACAGAAACAAAAGTTTGCAGGCGTGCGAGCGTCACTGCAGATTGTTTTGCTGCATCTGCGAAAACGTCGCACCCACGTGGTCAGAGCCGGCGCACACATTTGACGTCACGAAGCTCAGCGTCRCTCACCGGACTTCTCCTCCTCTTCTCCCGGAGGTTCCCTAATTTGATAGCAGACATGTTGTTCAGTCCGACGAATTTATCCGAGTGCCTGCGGGAGTGGGAAGACTTGGAGAAAGACTACCAGCAGATTCAGGTAAGTTCATTAGAGTATCTCTGGGAATGTTCCCAAGCGGCCGCTAAGCTGCTCACAATAAACATGAAATAAGAAGAAATTAATGTGTGAAGAAAACACTGTACATTCATTTGTTTCAACACCACGCATCACCGCTTTTCAAAATAAATGTTACAATTAAGCAATTGATTAAATACTTTATTTATTTATCTATTTATTTGGTGAACTTTCTGCCTTTCAGATTTTATATTACTTGAAAAATCTAAAATTTTGCGCAACAAATTTATTTTTATTTTTTATTCATTCTGGTTTCTGTTTTTGCCCCCCAGGACACCCATCATCTGTACAAACAGAAGCTTGAGGAAGTGACCAAACTCCAGAACAGCTGCTCCGGTGCCATTGCTCGTCAGAGGAAGAGACTGAAAGAGCTTACGTCATCACTAAAAGAGTAAGTATTTATAATGGTTTTAGGGGTCATTCACCAAATCACCCAGTGGGTCACCCAATTTCCCTTTTTTTTATTTATTTATTATTTATTTTGGGTTGTTTACTTCTGTTTTGCATCATTACATCTTTTAATAAAGCTTGTGTAAGCATTTAAGTACATTTATTATAATATATTAGAACCTATTGTATTCTGGTTTGTGGGTTGAATTAAACAGTAAAAAGAAATTAATTTTTGTAAATGTTGTGATGTGTCACGTTTTTACCACAAATAGATGCAAAGAAAACAAGCCACCATTAAACCTAAGCCCAGAGGAGCTGGATTCCATCGCTGAAGTTGAAGAATCCATCAAAGACAAAACAAATGCTTTCTTCGAGATGGAAGCTTTTCTACCAAAGAAAAACGGGTATAAATCTGTTGTATGAGCTTTGATTGCCAGTCTTTATGATTTCGACGTTGCTTCTGACTGATTCCTCGTCCCGTTTTAGGTTATACCTCACTCTTGTTCTGGGAAACGTCAACGTAACGCTCCTGAACAAACAGGCAAAGTAAGCCATGTTGACACTTGCCTTCCCGCAGGCAGAAAATACTCGTCACAGCAGCTTTAACCATCGCCTCTTTTTGYTTCTCGACAAAGGTTCGCATACAAAGATGAATATGAGAAGTTTAAACTGGTCCTCACGGTCATCCTCTTCGTGTTTTCTTTCACGTGTGGCTTTTTGTTCAGCTACAGGTAATATTTCCCAGCAGCACGCAGTGAAAACTGTCTCTTTACTTTCAGTCCTGGATTCTAAACAAGTACAGCAGTGGACGGTATCCAGGTTTTGTGTTTTCCAAGCTGCTTCTAAAGGGTAGCATTGTGATGACGCAACATGCAACTCAGTGTTTCTGTTTGTTTCAGAGTGCTGGATGCTCTGTACAACTGCCTGTTGGTGTGGTATTACTGCACACTCACCATCAGGGAAAGCATCCTGATCAGCAACGGCTCCAGGTCTGTGACTGCCTTAMTGTTCTATGAATAAGGCTTGTTGTTCTCAGTCTCACCCAAAATGCTGCTGAAATAATCATCTTGTGTCTCTAAGATCCCACGTTGTCGTTCCATTCATACTTTTGTGATGCTGACAGTTTGGCACGATGCCCCGTTATAAAAATCTTTAATTTTCTGCAATTTGATATTCCAGTATTCACAAACTCCACATGTTTCTGCGCCTTGCTTCAGACGTGGATCTAAATGTTCATCCTGCATCCTGTAATGTATTTCAGGATTAAAGGTTGGTGGGTTTTCCATCACTACGTGTCAACCTTCCTGTCTGGAGTCATGCTCACTTGGTGAGGCTTGTCTTTTACACATTTACCAGCTCCACATGATGTAACGTTACAAACTCAACAGCTGACCTGACTCTCCTCCCTGTTTTCAGGCCTGATGGCGCTCTATACCAAATGTTCAGAAACCAGTTTCTGTCCTACAATCTCTACCAAAGTAAGATATTTTCTGTTTTCTAATTCCACACTACAAGCTTATGAGTTGAAATGATTCAGTGTGTTTTTCATCAGTCAGTGACTTTTGTCCCCTTTAACATGAAGCAACACCAGCTTGTGACCCCTCATCTTAAAATATGGTAGTGTGAACACGAATTGCTGAATAAGAGATTGTTTTTTTCTATTATGCACAGAGGATGCTCACAAACTTAATTATGTAAATCAGGCATTAAAACCCAAATTTTTAAGTTTTTTTAAAACATGTTTGATGCCACAGAGTGTAAAACTCTTGAGGAATGTATAAAAGTGAAGCATGTGTTAGGCAGCAGTGAAATGATTTACCTTTTTTGTTTGTAGACTTTGTTCAGTTTCTTCAGTACTATTATCAGAGCGGCTGCCTGTACCGACTCAGAGCTCTGGGAGAAAGACACACCATGGATCTTACAGTCGGTGAGCAGTGTGATGTTTGAAAAGAACATGTGACAGTTGTTTAACAAGTCCCGCCCAGTACTCATTTCATTCATTCATCTCATTTATTTCACTAACTGATATATTAACTATGTTCCACTGTTTGCTTTCATTTACATTTACACAACCCTCCAACATTTTCACAATTAGTTATAATGAAGAATCTTGCTAAATAGTCAAATGTTTCACGTTATAGTTGTACATCGATGTTAGCTGAGTGACAGTTTTAATCCTGGTGTTTAGAGGGGTTCCAGTCCTGGATGTGGAGAGGCCTGACCTTCCTACTTCCCTTCTTGTTCTTTGGTCACGTACGTAGCTTCTGCCTTTATATTTGCATTTAAATCTCATTAATGTTGATGTTACTTTATTAAGTTTAAATATTCATGTAAACAGGTAGAAGGATAAAAACAGTTACATTTTGAAGTTTTGGACACTTTGTTGACTCTAGACTTTTACTTTGTTCCAGTTCTGGCAGCTTTACAACAGCATAACCCTCTTCAAGATGTTCCAGCTTCCAGAGTGTAAGGAGTGGCAGGTTAGTACTCTTTAAACACTTGTCTTAGTTTGTAAGGAAATAGTAAATTTGCAAGCCCAAATATTTTTTTTATGTTCAAACCAAGTTTATAATAGCTTTGGATTTTTCATTATAGTTTATTTTGTTGTGACTTATTTTGTTGTTACAGACCATGACGTGCTGTTAGCTGCCCACAGCTAATGTGAAATGACTCAATAAAAAAAAGATCCACATGGCTCAAAATAAATTGACAAACACTAAAACTAAGGATATTCTATCTATAATTTCAGTTAGTTTTAGTTATGTAAAAAGATTATGCAGTGTTAGTTGTCATTTTTTATTACAGTTTTGATTTATTTTAGTTAACTAAAATGCTTGTTCAATTTCAGTTTTCATTTTTTAGTTAGTTTTAGTGAACTGTAATAACCCTGGTTCAAACAGGCCGTTTATTTCAGATGAACAGCAATGATTAAATGTGGTCTTAGTTTCTCTCTGGGACATGTTTGGATAACACACTGCACATGTGCAAACATTTCAGTCAGAGGCGCCGCTGCTGGCTGCTCCCTCTCTAAGTCCTGTTGAAGTGAATCGAGCCCACAAATCGTCTTTGATGCCGATTTGTTTTTCACTTTCAAGTCCCTCATGCCTTTGTATTTTGATGTGTAGGTTTTGATGTGCGGCTGCTCCTACATGGTGCTCTTCATGGGGAACTTGTTCACCACGCTGAGAGTGGTTTACCAGAAATACGTGAACAACCAGGACAAGTCCAAGAGTGTGTGAGACCGGAGTAACGAGCATCACCAGAAATGCCTCTTTGTTTACAAAAAAAAAAAAAATCTGTTACATTTGTTGTCCTTGTGGACCATTTACTTGCACTGCACCTTTTATCCAAGTCCTTTTGATTTCAAGTCTGTCATGTCTTCTGTAACAGGAACAAACATTTCACTGTTAGGTGAACCAAGTAGTTCATGTCTGATCACTTTTCAAACTGTGTATTTGTCTATTTAATGAGTTTGAAAACTCAGTATGTGTTACTGATTAAAGACCACGTTACTGAAATYAGATCTAAAATCTGTCATTTGTAGCTCAGAAGCTGTGTCGTCTAAACTCACAAAGTGCTCTGTTGAATAAAAATATTCCTGAAACGGTCAAGTTTCAAAAGTATTTTGGCATTACCTGTTGTTGGGGTGAATTTACCTCCATTTTGATTGTTTACAAATCCAACATGTATCTAATAAAAACCAGCGCAGCATTTTCTAAGCTTAAAGGACTGCTGCCATTCCTTGCAATTCATAAACTGGCCACAAGGTGGGAGCATTTAACCAGAGTTCAAATAAAGATCGTTTTAAATCTGTCCCACTAAAACTCATCTAATCAAAACTTGTACTCTTTATTTTCTTTTTTTTTTTTTCCTGCTGCTGTCCTTAAGAGCTTTGAAGAAATGTTGAGCTGAAGGAATTACAGCACAGAACAAATGCTGCAGTTAGATGGTAATAATTGGGCTAAAACAACTTCACAGGCCTCAGTCAACCAGACAAGTACATTCATGCAATCAAGCTTCTCTAATTTATGTTAAAACTAAAAAAAGTTTGGATAAAACCTTAGACAATATGTAAGGTTTTTCTTTAACGATCAARAAGGCTTTGATTTAATCATAGAGCTGCAAAGCAGATCACATCACGTGAAGAATAAGAAATTTGCCCATAAGATCAGAAGGAATAATACCTGAAAAATTTAAACCTGCTCCTGTCCCATTTTATTACAGTAAAACCCCCCCACGCCCCAACTGCAGCACAAAGTGCTGGATGATGCTGGAGGGCCGGTGAGGGCGAGGAGCAAAGTGAATCTAAGAGGAGGAGGGCTGGGTGTTCTCCCAGCCTGCACCTCTTTCATCTTTCTCATTAAAGCCGGAGCAGTGGGGCCCGTTGAGAAGGAGCCCAGGGACATGGGGAGGCAGGGGGGTGTGGGGGACGAGCCTGAGCYCCACATCAGGAGGAGGAGGAAGCAGCCAAAGCAAGCAGACAGGCAGCCATGTCAACTCTTCACCTTAAACTTAACCTGCCTCCCTCAGGGGCCCGATAAAGACCTCTTATCTGCACACACCTTTTCTACCCCGGCCTGGGAACAACTCCAGCAGCTGCAGGGAGGCGGAAGGGAGGGAGGCCACAGTTGAGTGGGTTTGAAACACAACTTTTCTATCAGAAAGGTGGATATGAAAGAGGAGAGCAGATGTGACGAGCCTCCATGTGGGACACGGTGATTAGCAGAGGGGAAGTGGCTCATAAAAGGTGATTCTGAAGTGAAACTCTGCAGTGGACAGACAGTAAAAAACCCTCTTAAGCTCAACTTCACATGTTTTCTACTTGTCAGCACTGGAACGGCCACAKGAGCAAAACCTTGCATCACTTTTCTTTTTAACAGTAAATTTTCAGCTTCAACTGTTGTCACGTTGGAGTTTATGGTCCAGGATCCAGACCCAGTTCTACAATTCTTATGTTTTTTTAAACATTTTAATTATTCATAAAGATTTTACAAGAGTTGGTTTTAAGGACTTGTTTACCACCCTGTTGCATCACTTAAAAATATATTTTTAAAAAATCTAAGCATTTGGCAGCTGAGACCAGTTTATTCTGGTTTTGTACACTTTCTGTTGCTTACACATTTCTTCATTTTACTTTTGTTGCTTCCTCTGTGACTGACAGCTCTGAAATGCAAACTATAACTAGAGCACTGATGTTTTTACTTCAGGTGGCTCAGATTGAACGTTAGTTTAATTTTACCTGGATGCTGTTCATGTTGACCATAATTAGCTATGGTACTTTTAGAAATGACCAAATTCACCTCTTGTTCTCTCCCAGATGCTGGCTTTAAAATATCTGCTGAAAACCTGGGTGTTGCCTACAAAATGTTACCTGTGTTTTAATTTTACCTCCATTCTTTATAAATATTTACATTTCAAACGTATGTTTGTGAAAATTCTGATGAGTTCAGATTTAAATCTGTGCTTTTTATGAGTAAATTTCCAGAGTTGCAATGACCTCCTCAGTAAGTTTTAAAAGTGATAAATTTTTGCACAGAACTAAATGATTTATTAAAGTGAAATCATTCTTTACTGCAACGTGTCATGTTTAATATGCTGAATTTATATAAATAATTGTTGCAGGGGGGATTTGAACAAGCATGCAAGTTTGAAGTTCAAAACTAAAAATAACAAAAAAAATCTGAATTTTAATCTAGATGAACAATTTC